GAAAACACTTAACTGGACATAAAAACAGAGGGGATTACAGAAGAAAGAGGGAGAGGTTTGCATGAAGGGCTCTCTGGTCAATCAGAATTTAAAAGACTGTTGTCTTTATACCTTCTTGTGACTCAGATGTTCAATCAAGTGATTTCAACTGAATTATGACCCACTCAGGCCAGTTGAGGTGGTCAGGAGGCAGCCCCACGCGGATGCAACTAACACCCCCACCAGCTCAAACTGATTTCTCTCTTTCTTAAAACTTTCTCTGAAAATACACTTGTCTTAGCTCAATTTTAACTTACCTAATTTCAGTGTTTCAAAATGAAACCATTATGTGATCTATGCTATAAGGAACTATGTCTTAACCAGGAGAAAAGGGAAATATTTTACTTTTGAACACAGACTGCTGCTTAAACCCCAGTTTATACTTAACATCAGTTATATTGTGACTGAAATTTAACTTGTCTTCAAAGAAAGGTACTGCTTAGATGGTTTATTAAAAGAAATTGAGGGAGAAGTGGTAATAAAGCAAGGTGCTTTTTCTGTAATAAAACTATACAAAGGATGTTAACTCATGATTCCGTAAATTCAGGTTTGGGGTTGATGTTGCGCTGCTGTTTTTACTTAAGGTCAAATATGCTCTTATTTAAAGCATCCAGCACTCAAAGAATAGCTTTAAAAGCCAAAACATAAGAGCTAGTGTGCCAGTTAGTTTAAACTGTCAATTTTCCTCAACCTAGAATCACCTGGGAAGAGAGTCTTAATGAGGAATTGTCTAGATCAGGTTGGCCTGTGGGTATAACAGTCTTGATCCTTAATGAAGGAAGACCTAACCCACTGTAGGCAGCACCCTTTCCTAGGCTAGCTCCTGACAGCATTGGGGGGGGGGCGCAGAGAACGAGAGATCAAGGAAATGGGTGTCTGTTCTCTCCACTCCTGCTGGGGATGTGATGCTGGGACTTCCCCACAATAATGGATGTACCTGGGGATTGTGAGCCAGATAAACCCCTTTCTCCCTTCAGCTGGCTGTTGTCAAGGTCTTTGTCACAGCAACAGAAATCAAACTTGGAAGGCTATAAATTCAAAACAATTGACATTTTGTGATTGTAATATTGATGAAAAATTTATGGTACTATTTTATGGAAAATTTTATTCTCGATTTGTTTCTGTGAGAACAAAACACAAATATGCATTTGAAAAATCCCTTGCTAAGTGAACGTTACACTGTACACTGTAAAGTGTATGTCAATTTTGAGTAGGTTCTCATTGATCATTTTGTTACTGAGCTACTTGCTTATGGTCTGTTAGCCCTGAGCAAGTTTAGAGGTTATATAATATCTGTAAAGATCATGACCACACGTGGGGGATCCGCTACCATTTGAATGTGAGCTGATTCAACTAACCGAAAAGATAAGTCAATCAGTATGCAGCCCATAAACACTGACTTCAAACTTTGGCCATGGCTTCTCAGACACAGGAGAGCGTTAAGTTTCTCTGAGCCCATGGCCCTGGTGGCTGGTCCCAGCCCCAGATTATGCATTGATTATTCCTGTCAAGGTCAAGTATCTTCCAGTTCCTTGACTTGATCTAACAAGCAGTCAATCACAGACCATTTCCAGGCAGGGTAGTAAGATTTACAGAATGAATGTTCTTGTGGAGAAATGGACAGGCATCGTTCACAGTTGGCAGTGTTGATGTTAGGGAGATGGGTGAATGGGAGTAAGGCAATCATTTTAATAGATAATAGAAATGCAGTTGAGCCCAGGCTTAGTCATATTGAGAACGTTTTCACAGTCAAGGACACTAACTCTTTCTCTATCACACACCCCAAAGTAAATCCGTACTGAGGTGTAACAAGTGGGGACAGATAGGAAGCAAGGGCTAAGTGTGAGGGGAACGTCCTCTAGGCAGCAGAGACTTAGCACCCAGTTCTAAGGCTCTACGGAAAGAGGAGTGGGGTGCACCTCACTTAAAAAGCCCAGGAAACCAAAATGGTAAAATCAAAAATTTCTCAAGGTTCCCTGTGGAGAAAAGTACTCACAAAGGCCATTTTATTCTTAGGAAGATGAAACTTTCTTTTCTGTGGCACTTGACCCTTCCCTTTATTATCGGGTTGGATTTACTCACAGTTTCAGAGCAGTACTGCTTAGGAGAAATATAATAAGAGCCGTTGTTTAACCCAACATGCCCATAATATCATTTTACCATGTGATCAATAAAAAAGTGATTAACGTGGTAGCTTTTGTATTTTTGGATGAGGCCTTCAATTTTTTTTTTCCCAATTCTTTGCCACACACCTCAAGGTTCCACAAACCCAAAGTGCTCAGTGACTTGTGGCTACAGCCCTGGGAACAGGGGCTGGAGAATCTTCTTCCTCAAAGACTGGACTCACCATATCTTTTCCCTGGACCCTTCCATCAATGCATGCTTGTTTACATACCGTTAGAGCCAAACACTGATGGAAGACAGGGTGGACTGGAGCTCTCTGGTTCCTTCACAGTTAATAGTCACATGAAACAAAAGAGCTACTGTCCAGGGTCTAGGAGGGTTTGAGTTTGGGTCATCTGACCAACCCTTCTGTTTCATTCAGTCTACTAAATATGGGTTCACTGGAGTATGTTTAGCTAAATCTTTGCAATGCTCTGGAACAGCCCACCATGAGCACAATTTTAAAACTCTACACAGGGCTATTCTGAACTCAGCGGTTAGCTTTAGGTACACCTAGCATCGATGATATGAGCAGCTGGTGTTGACACGCCAGTGATGAATGTGAGTTCATGTCTCCCAGTATATAGTGCTACTTACAGCAGACTTTACGAGAGACACTGGGACAAACGTGTCGAGACACTGGCACATTCACACAAGATAACAACTACGGGTATGGTGTGGCATACGGACTGGATGCTGTGGCTACCGTGGCAAGTACTCACTTGTCAGCTCCTCCTTCTTCCTTTCGGCTTGTGCACACCACGGGTGTGTGACAGGGTGTGCGTTTTGTGGAAACATATATCAGCTAATAAAGCACCGCTTGACTGAGAAGTCTATGACAGCCGTCACTCAGTTCCGTAGGATTATCAACACAACAGGTGCACTGTTTTATGAATCAGAATTCTGCGTGCTGATTCATAAACTGGCCAGTGTGCAACAGGAAAATGATGCATCAAAGAAAGCATTGTGTAATCTTCATGCAATAAAGTTGTAACTTGTCCCTCAAAAAACAGCTAATGCAACACTAGACAGAGCTTAAAACAGAACGGGGCACACACAGATGTTCTGAATGTGAGATGACCAAAATCATGATTTCCTCTCTAAATTAAAAAAATCAAAAATATCATTTTACATTAAATTTTAAATTCGAGCTTAGACTATGATGATAAGTTTTCATGTTTGGAAACAATTCTTGGAAAGTACATAGCAAAATGTATGGTTTAGGGGAGAGTTGGGGGTTGACTGAAACCTGCCTTTTCTGGACTGTCCTGGGATGATTCAGTGTAACAAAACTGCCAACGCTGGTACGGTGTGTGGTTCATAGTTCACCAAGAGCTCAAATAACTCTAACCTGCCAGTCTTTCACTGCGTGGATCATGGGGTTCACAATGTCTGACTTCTTGTGGGCAGGAGATCGCTGTCAAACTGCGTGTACTTCAGTATGTCAGTTAAATAAGCATCAGAGACCTTGGTGAAATCGAAATACAATTCTTCCCAACTGCTATTACACATATCACTGGGAAAAGCATCTTTTCTTTAGGGATTAAAAACACCCATCCCGACAACATAAAATTTATTTGCCAGCCCTGGATATCTTTAATAACTTAAAAATTATTCAATTTTGATGTTATGTAATTTTCATTACAACATGGTATTTAGAGTAAAATAAAACCACACGTGTTGGTGGCAGCTGGGGCAAGATCAGCTGATATTCTGAAAATAAGCTGCGGTAATTTAGCTTTTGATAGAAATGCTCTTGTGAGGGCTGAGGCGGCCATTTTTCTAATTCTAGACGTGTGTACAGAATCAAGTGAATCTCAGTACTGACTGGCACATTAGGGAAAAAATGAAATGTTTAAAATAACAATCTAATCTAAATTATAAGATAAACGCGAGGGAAATATTTTCCATCTCAGAATCTAAAACTGGAACTCCACAGGGCGGTGATGAACAGTATAGATATTTATGCAGACTCTTACAGGCTGTTTCCGGAGTCCCCGAGGACTGCTGGATTCACGGTCTCATCGTGTCTTAGCAGACCAATGTGCTACAATAAAGCCTGAAAATACCCCTCATGGCTTATGGCAGAGACTGTTTTTGTGGTCATGGTCACCAAGCTTAGCACAGACAAAGCCTTTTTCTGTGTTGGGACTTGGGGACTTCCGGATCATTCCTGTAACTTAGTTATCGACATAAATATGTATAGACAAATATGTAGTATGCAAGTCACAACAGAAATATATTTAACATTTAAGGAAATTGAGAGTCTACTGGTAAACTGACATATGTATACAGTATGACTGGATTTATTCAGAGGAATTCGATTTCTCTGCTTGTTTTTGTTTCTCTCTCATTTTAAGGAAGCAACGTGTTCTTCTTGCACGTACATTCTTACTGTTACTGCTGGTTTTTTTTTTGGTTTTGTGAGACAGGGTCTCCCTGTAGCTCCAGCTGGTCCTGAACTCACTACTAGACCAGGCTGGCCTCCATCTCACAGAGATCCTCCTGCCTCTGCCTCCCGAGCGCTGGGATTAAAGGCGTGCGCCACCACGCCCGGCTTGTTGCTATTTTTTAAAACTAACGTTGAGTCATGGAAATTAATATCCATGATCAATAATTAAACAATTTTTGTTTCTTTTTGCAATTTTGCCTTTCATTTGTTTGTACCGTTGTCTCATTAAAACTGCCTTTTAAGATTGGCTAGAGTCAACTTTCGTTTTGGTACTTGGTGATCGTATTGTACTGTTGATTTATTAACATATGTCAGCTTCCTACAGGAACCCTATGGGTCTGCCCACCTGTGATGTCACAGTAAGGAGGGGTTTTTCTTCGGCAGACTCCTCCCTCGGTATCTCCTTCATCACCATGGCAACAGCCTTATCTGCCGCCCTAGAGCCTTTCCCCTACAACAGTGAAACCAACAACGACTGTGTCAGGAATCTTGAAGTTATTTACTGCGAAATACTCTAATGTTTAAAGAGCAATCCGACAAGAGCGAAGAATTAGGCAGCTGCGAGGGGGTCTTGAGGCTTGTGGCTGAGGAGAAAACACAAAATCTGAAACATTATTTGTGAACTTCGAGTCAGCTACCTTTCCACACCAGCTGATGGACTTAACGTTCACATAGTATTTTTGTATGTATAGTATATTTGAAGGCAATTCACATGATAGGAACTTAATTTTATAGTATCAATTTTAACATGCTTCGAGTAGCCGGTGGTGTGCATTTATTTAGACATAGTGACTAGAGCCCCTAGGTGGTGTGGATGATGGATTTCTTACAGAGATTAGAGTCAGGATCTGACTCACAGAGAGCTTTTGATGGGTGTTTCTTGGAATCTCATTTTTTTTCAGTGAATTTGGCATAAAGAGTATAAAGCCTCCCAACCTCTCTAAAATCTCCGGTGGCCTGGCATGCCGGGAATTTACCCAGCTTCCTCTGTAAGGTGGTATGAACTAGGGTCACATTTTCCATACTTCCAGTATTTTTGAGACCAATGTGCTTCAGTAGAATTTGAAAAATGTCTTTTAATTGAAGAATTCTATAAATACATAAGTAAGATATAATTACTGTCTAGACAGCGATCTCTCTGTATCTGGTGTCTGTCTCTTGCCTCATAAAGAGAATTATGAATTATAAAGGAGCCGGCTAGCTTTCTGTCCTCTGAGTTGACCAGATTAAGTTTAGGGGAGCAAATAGGGCATAATGACAAAAAAAACCCCTACAAAGTATCTTCCTCACAGAATTAGAAGCATATCGTACCATGTAAAATATTAAATAAACTTTAAATACTTTCAAAACAAAACCTTCTATTTTCTCAGGTCTCCGGAAAGAATCTTCCAGGAAAAAATCATTTGTACTAAAATCATATATCAGTACTTATGTTGTAAATCTGCTGAAGATAGAGACATAGAACACGGAGATCTCACACATGGACACGTGTGTGGTAAGGAAATTACTATCTGGCGTTAATTTTAACTCCAGAACTTGTTAAACCTCAGTCTTTCTCTAGGCAACAAAGAGGGTCAGAATCACACTATTTTAAGCTTTCCAAGGACGTTGTCTTTAGAAGGCAGGCTCCATCTAGAGAGTGAAAGCACTCACTCACTCAGGCACTGGCCCTCTAAAATGTAACCAGCTACAGCCTCTAGGAATGGGGATAAAGAAAACTTTTTGCACAGTTAACAAATTTTAAGAACCATGAATCTGCTTATGTTGCCGAAAGCGTGTTTCTTTGGTTCGTCAAGACTGAATAGCATTATTAAACGACAGCGTGCAAGATGGAACAGCAAATACTGGAAATTTTATCGAGCCGGTGTATCAGTAATGATTTTCATGTGTCCTCAAAAGATTATGCTGCCATAATCCTTATAATCACTGATTTCTGGAAGAATAAAAGGAAATGATGTTTCGCTGCATAGTCAACTGGTATGAATGAGGCATCCGGGTTTCCTCTTTAAGGAAGCAATGTGACTTTCCTAAAATAGAGACTAGTGTAATTGTGAATTCTAGGGAAAGATGTGTTAGGGCACTATTAAGGTATTTAACATGTCTCTCAAATCTCAAAGTTTTTTGGCTGAAACATTACATGCCATTTACTAACTCTACCTGTACCAGCTGTGCTCATTAACGGTTAAAAGCTGGCTTGTAACACATATGTTTTCAGCGTTTATTCAAAAGAGCAAAATCATTTGCAAGGAACTCTTTCCATGCTCTAAGAAGTTCCACTACAGCAATAAATAAGGTGGCATGCTTACATTTAAATTCCTACTATATTTAAAAGAACAAATCTAATATGAGGTATATTTTAAAAATAATAACTCAGACTTTTTGGCATAAGAAGGTGTCAATTGATAAGCATCTCAAAAAATTTGAGGTTAAATTTTCAGTGTTATTTATTTGAAATGCTACCAATCTATAAACCACCGAGAGGTAGTTTTTACGTGTGCAACTATTGTAGCTAAAATTAGCAGTAGACATGCCATTTTGCTAAACAGAAACAAACAAACAAACAAAAATCAAACAAAAATTAGTCCTTTCATGCTGAGCTCTAGAATAAAGCAGTGGGTCCGCTAGAAAGGTTATATCACACACACATGCGGTGCTCGGGATTTCTTGCAGAAAAAAACCCACCAAAGCCAGGGTCAGGTCACTTTTTTGAAGACAGGGCCACTTTTTCTTCAAGGTTACACCTACTGCCTGGAAAGAGTCACGACACCTGTGTTAGTTCCCACTGACAACTCTTGGCTTTTGAGCTAGAACCTCTTGAGCGTCGGGGTCTTAGAAATGCAGAACCATCTGAACACTGAGGGAGGTTTGCTAGTGACAACTCTGGGGCTGCAGAGACGGTGTCTGGGAAAAGGCTACACCCAGTGACTCCACTCATCTATCAAAGCCAGGGTCTCCCACCTCCTAGGCCACCTCCAACCGAGTTGTGTTTTTTCCGACTTCACTTAATTTGTGGGATGCTGCTCCTAAAATCTACAGTGTGGCTGCTATTGCATCTAGCAACTGTTAAGACCGTTCGGCTTCCCCATCAGTAGCTCTGAAAAGCTGACCATAATCCCACCAAGTGAGGTTCTTTCTCTACTGAGGTCAGTGGCTCAGCATCTTAGAAGAATTGTATAGCCATCATAATTCAGCTTCAAACTCATCTTTCTAAATATAGCTGCATCAGAGGGTCAATATTGACTTATTACTTGAAACGACATGAGGACATCCAAAGGGAACCGATGACTGAAAATACACTCAGGTGAGAAATGGGTTACACACGCCATGCCACATTGGTCCTGTTCTAGGTCCTGCTTAGCAAGGACAGGAAAGAAGAGTGGATTAGCATCCGACTCTCCCAGTAGGACAGACTTGGCAAAGGTTCAGCCCAATTCTTTTCCAATCGTATGTGAAATTCACTTTTCCCCATTTCCTTGTTGAATTTCTTGAGATGTTTTTAATTGAAAAACCGTGTCAGCCAAACTTTTCTCTCAGTTCTCTACCACAAGAATCCCTTGATGTTTCTCATTTCATTTGTAAAATTTTCCTCAGCAATGAAATACATAAAACGATATCCCTTTTAACAAGTAATTCTTGAGAACAATCTTTTTCTCTTCGGTTAGAAAAGCAGGTACACAACACGAAACCCGGGGAGGGATGACAAATAGCGTTAACACCTGCTAGTTAAGAATGTTTTGACGCGTTGCTTTTCTTTTGGATGACATGGCATGGGGGATGCAGAGTATTTGAAGGTGGATGTCGCAGGACCATCTTGGGCTCTAGGTACTGGCTCTACGTCCTGCCTCTCAGAGAAGGGAACAAATCCGCTGGGAAGGAGGTGCCCTGTGCTGGGTGCTCCGGTGGGTAGATATGTCTTACTTGGATAACTGAGGACATGAAAACTCAAAATCAGAGTCAGAGGGAGACCCAGACCTGCCTGTCAGGCCTGTGCGCATCCTTCCTACACACCATGGAGCCCATTCCTCTGACGGAACGTGGCTCTCCTCCCCTCCACTGACAACAGAAATGACAGCTGTTATCAACCACATTTTAGGAAGACATCACTTCTCCGTGTAATCACTCAGACCAGCTATTAACAAACTTTTTCTTATGCCTTTTTGTTTTGTTTTGAGAAGGGGTCTCATTGTGTAGCCCAGTCTAGCCTGGCAATCACTCTGTACCTCAGATTGGACTCGAACTTGTACCAGTCTATTTCAGCCTTCCAAGTGCTAGGATTACTTTTGGGAAAGGACAGGGACTGCCAGCTTGTGAGAAGTGGTTTTTATTTTTGTTTTTTTTTGTCATTTTGAGACAGGGTCTCCCTGTGGCCCCAGCTGTCCTGGAACTCACTATGTAGACCAGGCTGGCCTTGAACTCACAGAGATCCACTTGCCTCTGCCTCCTGAGTGCTGGGACTAAAGGCGTGCGCCACCACACCCTGCTAGAAGTGTTTTAATATTTTCCCTCATTCTAGGAGAACCGGCCATCCGCAATTTAACTCAGGAGTGTATTTCTAATGCAATGCTTTCTGCCATTTACCTTTGTGGCAAACCAACCCACACGTTTCCTGTATATGATTGCTTTGTCCTATAGAACCTAGCAGCTTCATAACATCATCCCTCTGGTTCTTAGTGCTGACTGAATGCCAGTGAGTCATCTTTACTAAGATTCCCTTGAGATTTACTTTGGGCATGGTAAACACTGAACATGTGAAATGCACAGCTACTCGGCTGCCTGCGACCAACCTGCTAGTCAGAGATCTTGTTACTGCTGCTGTGGATTTTGTAATAGTAAAGACTTTATTACATTTATTTGTGTATGTATGTGTGCCTGTGTGTGTGTGTGTATGTGTGTGTGTGTGGAGGTCAGAGGACATCTTGCACAAGTCAGTTCTCTCCTCCCACCACATGGGTTCTGAGGTGCTCAGGCTTGGCAGCAGGTGACTGGACCCACCGAGTCATTTTGCCAGGCCCATGGAGTTTGTAATTTAGACAATACTTCTATTATTCTTCATCTATCAATAATAACCTAGAGTCTCTTTAACAGAGACATTAAGTAAAAAAGGAAATGTATTAAAATATGGAAAAGCAAAAGATAATATTATTGCCCCTGATAACCTGGAAATAACATATTTAAGACATAACTTTTTGTTTTGATTTTTTTAAAAAAATGAACACATATTGTTACCAAAAACTGAGAAAAGACAGAAATGGTAAAATAAAAGTAACATATTTTCTTGTACTTTCCCTAGATACTGTATTTTCTTTCTTTCTTTCTTTCTTTCTTTCTTTCTTTCTTTCTCTTTCTTTCTCTCTTTCCTTCCTTCCTTCCTCCCTTTTTTTTAATGGAGCTTTTTTTTAACTCTCGGTAGCCCCCAGCTGGCCTGGAACTCACTATGTAGACCAGGCTGGC